TTGGCTCAGCTGCCATTTTAATGTTAGGCTTCCAGAGACTCCCAAAATGGCTCCCCCCCCCAAAAAAAAACCCCTTTGTTCACTAAAGCATTAAACGGGAAAAAATGGAGAGTTAGGGGGGAAAGAATGCCCTACACCACATTAAGTAATTTGCTGAAAGATAATAGAATAATGTTTTGATGGTTAATACCAGAAGGGGTGCTGTTTTCATATAATGGTCAAAGATATAGAATTGATTCAGTGTTTAAGGTAGAAAACTTTCTACAAAACTTTGGAGAAGACCTGGGTCTGCAAAAAGAAGAGGTAGAAGAAGAGGAAGAGGAAGATAAGGAAGAGGAAGCAGAAGAAGTAGGGGAAAAGAGCAGACACCAAGAGACACTTAAAAGGAAAGGAAATGCGACAAAAAGAAATAAACCCAAATCCAGCAAATCAACATACCAAATTCTGACTAGATATAAATACAAAAGTGCATCCGGACCTAACGTCTGACACGCCACCACAGAAGGAAACGCCAGGAACACCGTGATCGTTCCAGGTGGGCGACACTGTTTTTGCCAGGAACTACAGCGAGGGGCCTGCGTGGATGCTGGCCGCAATAACCGCAGTTACCGGGCCATTCTCCTATGTGGTGGCTTCACCCAGTGGAAGAAGTTTTAGGCGGCACATCAACTAGCTTCAGAGGTGCTGGATAGACCAACCAGATTTCCCGGCCAGGGAAGACTCGAAAGAAAGTTGGAGCCCGGCTCCGTCGACTGGGCAAGGGCAACCGCATTCGGCCAGCAACGCCAGACCTCCAGCCACGGAAACCAAGACCCCCCAGACACCAGCACCAACCGACAGTGATCCGACTGACCTATCAGCAGCAGAAGGTAATCCAATAACAGACACCGATCCATTCCCTCCACACCGTGCTAGCGCTACCCCCCTGACTGGGACAGTGTGGCGTTCCTTAAGGACACGAGGGCGCCCAATTTATCTGAAGGACTTTGTGTGTTAAAGATATGCACAGATCTTAGGGGGGAGGGGTGTTGTGTATTATGATTACAAATAGTTATTCCCAGCTTTGACCAGAGCTACACAGAGCTCTGGTATCGTAAAATGCACAATCTGATTGGCTGTGGTGAAACATACGCCAATCAGAGTTCAGGATTGTTCTCGTTCTTTATGTACGGACAGTGATTGGTCCTTACTGTGCGACTTGGCGTGGTCTGCCCAGCCCAGGAAGTTTAAAAGGCGCTCGTTGCTCCTGTTGATTGTTGTTGGTTGTTCTGATGTAATAAAGCTGAAATCACTTGTTAATAGCTGCCTGAGTCTGATATTTAATATCTCCGATCCCCCTTTCAGGTTAATGCCAGCAGGAAACTAAACCTTGTGCAGCTCCTTTTAAACTTCCCCTATCATTTTAATTTTTTTAAATTCAGCAATCCAAGACCCGCAATAGTCTCATATCACTAGACTCATGCCGTTTGTCAAAAAAATAAAAACATTTAAAACAAAGGGGAAATGGAGCTTGTACACCGATGAAGGGGGACGATGGTGGAAGGTGCAGAGTGGGCGGAACGATCTCAGTGTGGGCGGGGCAGCAAAAGGGCGGGAGGGAAATCTAAGGGAATCTGGACGCTTTTGAATTACCTTCAGCTTGGAGGAGGAACAAGGGAGAAATCGGCCCAAAAGGGAGGAAAATCAATGCAGAACTACAAAGAAAACCCGACAGACATGCATGGTGAAAATATCCATGAATAATAGACCTAGGCTGCGGTCACACGTAACAGAAGCCACACAAGTGAGACGGAAAACAGCCGGAGTTTCCGGGCGCGATCTCACCAGCACATCTGGGAAGCGTAGCACTCCCGTGGCTCAACCGAGGCTTCCAGCCAAAACTGCGTGGCAAAAAACTAGTACCTTGGAGGTACTAGTTTCCGGAAACTGCGGGGCAAGGGCGGGCGTCTGATCGCGTTTCCGGTGGCATCCGGTGCCCGCCCATGTCCCCTTGCAAATAAGGTGTGTTTTTTTTGTCCAAGTCTCTGTGGATGCGCATGCGCACCCAACGGAGCATGCGCATTTGTCATGTACACAAAAATAAAAAACAGTTTGCCGCGGCGCGCGCTTCTTCGTTGTGCGCCGGCTTGTCCTGTGATCGGCACCTCTCCCTTGCCATGGAACCTCCACGGTACCTCCACAGGACCTCCACAGGAGGTCTGATCACGTAACTGCGCAGTAGTTTGCCCCAGGGCAAACAGCCACGCTTCTCCTCTGCAGTTTCCTGCCCGTGTGACCGGGGCCCTAGAACAGCAAATCATGCCTTATAGCTTGGTACATATTGTTTAAGCAACATTGGGCTAAAATATGTCACACAGAATCAGGACTAGCCCCGGGCAGGCTCTGGATGAAGCACAGGAAGAGCGAGAGAGAGAAACTCGAGACACAAACCACTGCCGTTGTTATCAGCACATCTGGATTAAAATTAGCTTTTCCTTCTAAATTCCAGTGCCAAGTACATGGAGTTTTAACCAAACAGATGCCCCGGGGGGGGGGGAATCTTATGTTACAGCCAGAGAATCAACATCACCATTTTTTACTGGGAATCCAGGTTTCGTTTCACTCCAGTCTTTTCCCCCCATGTCACTCTAGTCTTTTTTCCCCATGGCAAGAAGGCCTGCAAAGATGCTCACAGTTCTTTCCCTTCCTTCCATTTTCCATGCACTGCAAAACCAATAGGCATCTATATCTGACTGAGAACCCGCACTGCATGCTGGGACGGGTGGTCTGTTAAACCATCCAGGGCTGGTTCCAGGTTTTGGTGGATCCTGGGTAGAGAGTTCTGAGGGGGCCCCTCCCATCCTTTGCCCACTACCCAGCATTCATGCCTTCCTTCCCTCCCACCCACCTGCATGCCTCTCACATATTTGCGTGTCCTTCCCTTGTTGGCTCACAAGCCCCCACCCCACCCATGCTCACAGCTGCCTGCAGACCTTTGCCCAGTGGCACTGGGCAGTGGGTGCAGCAGGGAGAATGGGTGGTGGAATGCTAGCGAGTGGGCAGGGGGTGGTGGGCAACTGGTCCTGGCCCTGAAACCATCACTAGGCAATGCTAGGTGTACTTTTCGCTTCTTGGCTTGGGATTCTGGGGGAGACCCTTTCATTGCCTTACCTATTTTCCAATCTAGGAGGTAGCCCCAATAACTCCAAGTGTGGAAAGGCTATAGACACAATACAAAGCCCTTCTCCTAGGCTTGTAGGCCGTAACAATGTACTTCTGGACAAAGGATTCCATGCTTGTTGGCAGCAGCCAAGAATAAAACATCATGCATGCTTACTGCCAGACTTTGGATGGGCAGTTGTACATGGTGACTGATTCATAAGGTCAACTGTTCAAGGGCTGAGAACCAGCAGTTGTAGGGTTTTCACATGTGGTTCCTGCAGCTACCACGAGGGTACAGGGACCATATGAATAGACCCTCTGATTGTTTCTTTTGTATGGCTGTGGCCAGAACCTTTGCTGAAACGGCAAGTCTTTCCATCTCTGGCTTCTTCTTTCTCTTCTGGTTGTAAAATAAAACAGGAGGCCGGGTGGCAACTTAACATTTATTCTAGCATAAGCTTTTTGTGAGTCAGTGCTCACTTGATCGGACATGCTGGAATAAATATTGTTAGACTTTAAGGTGCCACTGGACTGCTATTTTGTTTTGCTGCTACAGACTAAGGTGGCTGGCATTATCTTCTGGTTGCGGTTGACTGAAGAACATAAGAACGTAAGAGAAGCCAATGTTGGATCAGGCCAGTGGTCCATCCAGTCCAACACTCTGTGTCACACAGTAGCCAAAAATACCAGGTGCCATCAGGAGATCCAGCAGTGGGGCCAGGACATCAGAAGCCCTCCCACTGTTGCCCCCTCCCCCCAAGCACCAAGAATACAGAGCATCCCTTGCCCTGGACTGAGAGCTCCTTTCTATACCTTGTGGCTAATACAAGACAGGCAGAGACCATTGTCCCAAGAGACTCAACCCGGGGGGGGGGGCTTCACCCACCACTCATGTGGCTGCCAACCTCCAGGAATAGACTTCTGCCTATTCTGATTTTAGGCACAGATTTACGACAGCTGAGCTTTACGAGGCCCGGATTTCTTTGTTTCAAAAGATGCCCATTGATTCCCAGACACATCAACAAAAAACTGGTTCTTGGATCATTACCGGGGGGGGGGCGTATTTCCATCTACACCACACTTCTATACACCCTCTGCACCTGAAATGGGACTCACTGCAGTTGAAGGCAGCAGCGGAGCAGGAACCTGGGAACTGGATGTTCCATGCTGAGGCCACGACACTCCCTGTTCCTACCCTGGTTATTTACACACACTCCTGTAATGCTCATGCTTCGGTATGCTGAATCGAAAATATAGGAGTGTCCCAGCTATTCTAGGCAGGTCCTGTTGTAGCCTTCCCCTTCCTTCCTAATTCTGAAATCTGAACAGCTAGATTCATGTCCAGTAGCACTTCAAAGACGAAGATTTGCGAGGTATAAGATTCCAAGAGTCAAAGCTTGGACTTGAATCTAGGGCTTCTACTGCAGATCAGGATGCCAGCCTCCCGGTGGGGCCTGGAGATCTCCCAGAATTCCAGCTCATCTCCAGACTACAGAGATCAGTTCCCATGGAGAAAATGGATGCTTTGGAGGGTGGACTCTGTGGCACTGCCACCCCACTGAGGTCCCTGTCTTCCCACCAAATCTCCAGGAGTTTCCCAACCTGGACTTGCCAACCCTAGGCTCCTCCCTAGGGAAACCTGGTAACTGCAGGCCAACACAACTACCATCTCTTATGTTCTTATGAGGTCCATCAGTGGCTAGCCACAAGGTATAGGCAGATCGTGGTAGCGAGCGAGCGGGGAGAGTTTTCCACGCAAAGGGCCCGGCACAAGTTCGCCCTCGCCCGCCGCTTGGCTCGGAGCTGCACCGCCAGCCCCCCCCATCTTCCCGCCCCGGCGCCAGAGCCCACCAAGCAGGATGCCGCGCTCCTTCCTCGTCAAGAAGCATTTCTCCGCCAGCAAGAAGCCCAACTACAGCGAGCTGGAGAGCCAGACCGTGATCATCTCCCCATTTTTATATGAGAAGTACTCCTTGTCTGTCCCCCAGCCAGAACTTCTGAGTGCCGCCCCTTACTACCCTCTGCTTGTATGCAACACGGGCCTGCTCTCCAATTTCTTCGCTTCGGAGCAGGAGAACCAGAAGACCCCCGCGTCTCCCCCCAGCCCTGACTCCAAGCCTCTGGACCTGACCTCCCTGTCCAGCGAAGAAGAGGATGGCAAGACCACCTCCGACCCGCCCAGCCCGGTCTCCTCTGCCACCGAGGCCGAGAAATTCCACTGCAGCCAGTGCAGCAAATCCTACTCGACCTTTGCCGGCCTTTCTAAGCACAGACAGTTGCACTGTGACTCCCAGACCAGGAAATCTTTCAGCTGCAAGTACTGTGAGAAGGAATACGTCAGCCTGGGAGCGCTCAAGATGCACATCCGAAGCCATACCCTGCCTTGCGTCTGCAAGATCTGTGGCAAGGCTTTCTCCAGGCCGTGGTTGCTGCAGGGCCACATCAGAACGCACACTGGTAAAGCTCATTCGGGGAAGTGGTTCTCTGTCTTCCTGGTTCTTGGGGGGGGGGGGACAACAGTGGGAGGGCTTCTTCTTCTTTTTTTTAAATAATTTTATTTTGCATTTTCCAAACAGAACAAACATTACTGTATTTCATCATAATACATATATGAAAAAACTGTCAATGTAAAGCTTGAATTGATGCCTGAGACTTACCTATTAAATATCACGCCAGAAACGCTTAATTTTAATGAAAAATATGTAATTGTATATGTTGTTACAGCTGCCAGAATATTGTGGGCTAAATATTGGAAAATGCATGACACACCTAAAATAGAAGAGATAAAACAAAAAATGATGGAGGGGGGGGGGGGCAACAGGGGGAGGGCTTCTAGTGTCCTGGCCCCACTGGTGGACCTCCTGATGGCACTGGTATTTCTGGCCACTGTGTGACACAGAGTGTTGGACTGGATGGGCCTTTGGCCTGATCCAACATTGGCGTCTCTTATGTTCTTATCTTCCTGAAACTAACTCTGAACAGGCTCTTCTTTCTCCTCTAGGCCATTGAACATCAGCTGTGGAGCATCTCCAGTTTCGCAAAATGGACTTATCCTCATTCGCCACCCTTCCCCACAACAAGAACTGTTAGGTTGACTCACTGGTACAGGCCTCCGCCATGCTGCCTCTTCTGACCAGGTCTGGTATGGCTCAGCTTAGGTTCTCGGGCCATATCTAGATCTAGGGAATCGTGACAAAGAGGGAGAAATGGCAGAGGGGGAGGAGAGGATGGTGAGGAGATCATCGCTCAGGGTGGCTCTCCACGAAGCAGGCAAAAGGATGCCAACAAACCGCAAGGCCTGCCCAGAGGTCATGTGGTTCTCTGCATCTTCATAGCATTTCACATGTAGGAGAATTCACTCCTCTTTTCAGGTTCATGAAAAAAATATCTAGGTGGGATGGTATCCATATTCTGGGAGCTGAAATGTAAAATGGTGCCAGGGTAGGTGGTACACCAAAGGGGACATCCAGGGGCCCAGCACCTGGAGAAGCTGGCTTGCCTGCAAAAGAAGTCCATCCACCCCCCGCCCCCCAAAGCCCTTGGCTCAAGTTAGTAGGTAGAAAAGGCTGTCAAGTCACAGCTGACTTATGGTGACCAGTGTTCCCTCTAAGCTGACTTAGTGTGAGCTAGCTCACAGTTATTTAGCCTCCAGCTCACACATTTTTGTCTTAGCTCAGGAAGGATGGCTCCAGAGCAAACTAATTTATGCAGCAGCCAAATCGCTCGCTCACAACTTTAGTGCCAGTAGCTCACAAAGTAGAATTTTTGCTCACAAGACTCCACAGCTTAGAGGGGACATTGGTGGCCCCAGGTGACCCCATAGGCTTTTCAAGGCAAGAGACATTCAGAGGTGGTTTGCCGCTGCCTGCCTCTTCCTCATGATCCTGGACTTCCTTAGTGGTCTCCCATCCAAGTCCTAACTAGGCCCGATCCCGCTTAGCTTCTGAGATCTGATGAGATCGGGCTAGCCTGGGCTATCCAGGTCAGGGCTGACTCAAATTAGCAGCAATGGCCAAACCTTCTGTTATCAAAACCAGGCAGGATTCCTGTTTTCTCCTGCTCCTGTCTTGCCTTCTCTTGCCTTCCCTGAGGCCAGTGGTAGACTGCAGGTTGCTTGGGGCAGGGGCCCTTTTTTGTTTTTACTCTGCAAAGCACCATGTGGATGGAATTTGCCATATAAAAGTAAGAAGAATTCTTTGCTCAGAAAAGAACAGTTCCTAGAGCCTAAGTTGATATATTTTAAAAAAATAAACAGAATGTCATCTTCAACTAAAATTTTAATTAAGGCAGCAAACCTTGAGCATATTTTTAAAAGGTAAAGGTTCCCTTGCTCGAAAGTCAGTCGAGTCCGACTCTAGGGTTGCGGTGCTCATCTCCGTTACAAAGCCGAAGAGCCAGCGCTGTCCGAAGACATTTCCGTGGTCATGTGGCCGGCATGACTAAACACCAAGGCGCACGGAACGCTGTTGCCTTCCCACTGAAGTGGTCCCTATTTATCTACTTGCAATTTCTTGCTTTCGAACTGCTAGGTTGGCAGGAGCTGGAACTAGAGACGGGAGCTCACTCCGTCATGCGGCACACTCAGGTCTCGAACTGCTGAACTACCGACCTTCCACAGCCTGCAGTTCAGGGTCTTAACCCCTTGAGCCACCGCAGCTCCATATTTTACTTTGACACATTTTTTAAGTCAGTATGTTATCTCTGGGTGAGTATGCTTAGGACTGGAGCGTTATTGTAATACGGAGAACGGGGATGACATTTGCAAAGATTTGATAGGTAAAATGAAGATTGCTTTCTCAGACAACTTCACCTGTGATTTGCCCATACAAATGCTTTTCCCCTCTAGTGCCACCTCGAGGCATTGGGGCCCACATCAGTGGTATTCCTGTCTGCTTGAGACAGCTTTGTATTGACTGCCAGAAACTTGTTGTTGTTGATACTAAACTCTTCCAGCACTTCTGCAACCTGGGCGTGGGCATCTAAAATCTTCAAAAAAGGGACTCTTGGGGAGTTGATACCAAGGGACTTGCCCAACGCCCTTCGGCAAGTGAGTGGCAGAGCCACAAATGGAATCCTGGTATCTTCAGTCCCCTTCCACCTGGCTTCTCATTTTCCGTTCAGTTCACAAAACGCTATCTTTGGTACGCAAGTTTAGGTGTACAAATCTATTTGCCTTATAGATCGGAAAGGCAGGTCCGCAGAATGTAGGCTAAGGATGCCCCGGATGGAAGGACAACTGCTTTGTTTTACTCAAGCTTCCCTATAGCTCAGCGTCCTGTGCCCGTTCATCCTGAGGTTTCAAAGGCAAACCTCTGGGAGGGTCCCTCCTGGTTTTATTTAGTAGCCCACTGTGCCAAACGTATTACCCCAGTTGCCTTAACCATCTCCGTGGCAGTCGGATCTTGTACCGTCTCATCACCCTTTGGTTCTAACTTTCTTTCAGCAAGTGAGGGTCATTCTCTGCAGAGTGACCAGCTTCCATTTGCAAGCGAGAACAAGGGGGAAAAAAACTCTAATACTCCAATCAAAATACAAAGAAATAAATCCCTTTTTCTTCCCCTGGAAACAATAACTCCACGTATATCGTATTCAAGGGAGAAACGAAAGAGGGGGACGACTGTCACCAGTTCTCAGATCCCCACCCCCACCCCCCGATTTTGCCTTCTGGAGGCAGCATCTTTGCCATCTTGTTTTGGGGCTGAAAGGCAGGGGGAAACATGCACACAAACGTACACAATGGGATCGGGGGGCTGCCGTTGGTACTTACATCTCCAGCACCCTTCTCTGCTGCCAAAAAGTGTCATGCCACCCTAGAATGAGATGGGGGGGCCCTGGTGCCAGGCTCCGGAATCGCTGCTGCCCAGCCTGGGGTGATCTCTTGTAAGCATACGCTGGGTTGCCAGCAGCTCTTGGCTAGAGAATGGATCTCAAGTCTGGCTGCTGTACCGGAGGAATGTACCATCTGTCCTCTGGAGGTGGGGGAGGAGAGGGAGGAGGAGGAGGGAAAAGACGAGGCGAACCATCTCCGTCACATGCACAGGGGTGCGCGGAGCCAGAATAGCCAAGTATTTCTGTAATGATGATCTCAGCGTTATTGGTTCAGGGGACAGGAGAGGAGGGATTTGGGCAGGATGCGGGAAGCGAGCTGCCGCCTCTCTGTTTGGAGGGAGAAAAGAATAAAGCCAAAGGCAGATGTGGACAAAGCCCACGCTCATCTGTTCTAATCTTTCCTGATCTGCCCCAGGTTAAAAAAACGACACTGCCTCTGGAGGAGAAGCTTGGAATGGCTTTTCAGATTTGGTCAGTCATGTGTCCTTGAGTTCATCTGGCTTTGGTCCTCCCTTAGACCGTATTGGGAGGCAGATTCTAATTAGGGTTGGTTGCCAATACCTGGAGATTTGGGAGGTGGAGCCTGAGAAAGGTGGGGATTGGGGAGGGGAGGGGCTTCCATAATGCCATAGAGTCAAATTCCCAAAGCAGCCATTTTCTCCAGGTGAACTGATCTCTGTCTCCAGGAGATTGGTTGTAATCCCAGGAGATTTACAGCTACCACCTGGAGACTGGCAGCCGTAATCCTAATGCATGTGCCACGGCTTCCTTTCTATCTGTACTCCCCCATAGCTACCTAGATTCATACTACAGTTTGCAGAATGAGTGTGATTTGGTGTGTAATTAGGTGAAATCCATGCTCAGCCACTGAGGGCACCAAGTACTAAAGCTGGGAAAGATGCATGTTGCCAAATTCACACAAAATGGCAACCGTGCATATTGAGAGAATTGTGCATCAGAATATTTACTGGAATGTGAGCTAAGAGCAACAAAAAGGGGCTATATCCAGTCATCTGTCCAGCACCTTATTGATGGCAATTCCATACCCGCCAACATTTGTCAAGCAAAAACATACTTATGATGACCCAGTTCTCAGTATCAAAGATCCCTTCCCTCTGTGTCTGTCTCTCTCTCTCTCACACACACACACAGGGCTAACACTACACATTACTTCTTTGGTATAGTATATTCACACTCTTCAGTCACCCATCTTCCAAAGCCAATAGGCCATTATTATTATTGTTATTATTAAAAATATTTCTGTGCCGCCTTTCTACCCAATCTGGGTTCCCAAGTGTATGTCTGCTTATTGTTAAACAGGTATTGTACTGCTGGACAGTGGCATGAGACTTTATTGTAACTAGTTTCAAAGTGTGATCTTTTGGTCCCTCCGAAAGGCAGTTGCTCTCCCTTGAGTTCAATGAGAGAATTGATATATATATATATAGCAGTTCGAAAGCAAGAAATTGCAAGTAGATAAATAGGTACCACTTCGGTGGGAAGGTAACAGCGTTCCGTGCGCCTTGGTGTTTAGTCATGCCGGCCACATGACCACAGAAATGTCTTTGGACAGCGCTGGCTCTTCGGCTTTGAAACGGAGATGAGCACCGCAACCCTAGTGTCGGATTCGACTGGCTTTCGAGCAAGGGAACCTTTACCTTTATATATATATATTGCAAAAAAAATTGTACTGGAAAAACATAACTGTTCTGCAATATGTTATCTGCAGTTCAAACTACACCCCATTTGCTACGGAATGAGGGCTATAAAAGAGCTTTCTTGAAGGAAGTACAAAGCTGCGGTGGACTGGCTTGGCTGAGGAGATGACTTCTATTAGGGATAAAGTCTTTCCTACTCTGATTTGGACAGTGCTGGCTCTTCGGCTTTGAAACGGAGATGAGCACCACAACCCTAGAGTCTGATTCGGCTGGCTTTCGAGCAAGGGAACCTTTACCTTTATATATATATATTGCAAAAAAAATTGTACTGGAAAAACATAACTGTTCTGCAATATGTTATCTGCAGTTCAAACTACACCCCATTTGCTACGGAATGAGGGCTATAAAAGAGCTTTCTTGAAGGAAGTACGAAGCTGCGGTGGAATGGCTTGGCTGAGGAGATGACTTCCATTAGGGATAAAGTCTTTCCTACTCTGATTGTCTTAATGCCTTAAACAGATACGTTGGCTGTTCTACAGTCTCATCCCCACTGTATCATTTTATCTTACTAGAAATCTTTGCTGCGAGAGACAAATGTTATCATATTCTACTTAACTGATTGCCTGATGTTATCATATTTTATAAATTGCCTACTGATTGAATGAAAGGTTGGTTTGTTTTTTAGAATCATACTTGTAATCTGACTTGGGTCTCAGTGAAAAAGGTGAAATACAAATGAAAATAAATAAATATACTGCACGGTGCCTTAGTATTTGTGTACATTTGCTCCTGATATTTTTCTTGAAATCGAGGAAAAGGAGCTGTACCCCCAAGGAATGGCATCTCCTAGTAACTCACACTAAAACCTTAACAAGGTATCCCCCCCCCCCCCAAGCCACAACAGGAACAACGATATAGCAGATACTGATAACAAGAAAAATTAGAGATTTTCCCTGGTCAATAGGAATGCTTTTAAGTGCATACTGTTTACAGCGTTATGGCGAAAACTCAGAAAACTGCATTCGGGGCTTCCCTCTGCTTCGGCAGCGATGCTAGAAGAAAGGAGGATAAAAACCGAAGCGGGAGGGATCCAAACGGGGAGAAATTGAAAATCACTGGCAATTTATAAAAAATAAGGGGGCAGCAGCAGCAGCGTGAACTGTGAATCCATCTTCATAAGGAGCCCTCAGGATTCATGCACGGAGGTGTCAGTCATGTGCAGTTAAGAGGCTGAGCACCAGGAAGCAGTGCTTATGTTAGGGCATGAGGGCCAAGCACAGAGGAGAACAGAAAGAGAGGAGTCAATGGTGGGACTCGCAGACCTAAAGGCCTCGCTGGGCCCTACAGTCAAAGAAAGCAAAGCACACTGAACTTGGCTCACATCCTGCGACGCCCATTGTACAATTAATTTAGAAACCAAACTGTCTTGCCTACCTTCTAAGGTCTCTGTTTCAGAACAGGAGTCCAACGGCACCTTGGAAGACTAATCACATTTATTCTAACATAAGTGCAAGTCAAGAGCTCACTTCATCAGACTCCCAAAAGCTTACGGTGGAATAAATGTCATTTGTCTTGAAGGTGGCGCTCTGAACTCCTGTCTTCTTTTGCTGCTACAGAGTACCATGTAATCCCCAACTGGAATGATCATTCTGTTCAAAAGTGGTGGCTTTGGGCTGTTTCAAAAATGGATGCCCCCAGGTTTGCATACTGTGTTGAATGCCAGGCAATCCTGAGTAGATTAATTCATAGAATCATAGAGTTGGAACGGAAGGGACCTCCAGGGTCATCTAGTCCAACCCCCTGCACAATGCAGGAAATTCACAATTCCTTCCCCCTCCGCACCCACGGTGACCACTGTTCCACGTCCAAAAGATGACAAAAAAAACCCCTCCAGGATCCCTGCCCAAACTGGCCTTGAGAAAAATTGCTTCCTGACCCCAAAGTGACAATCAGCATTTCTCTGGGCGTGTAAGAAAGGGCCACAAGAACTATGCAGCCCTTCCTGCCCTCCCTCTTATGATCTGCCTAAGTTCACACAATTAGCATTGCTGTCAGATGGCCATATAGCCTCTCTTAGAAACCTCCAAAGGAGGAGAGCCCAGCCCACCACCTCCAGAGGAAGCCTGTTCCACTGAGGAATCGCTCTGTCAGGAAGTTCTCCCTAATGTTTAGCTGAAAACTCTTCTGGTTTAATTTCAACCCATTGGTTCTGGTCCGACCTTCTGGGGCAACAGAAAAAAACCTCTGTACCATCCTCTATATGACAGCCCTTCAAGTACTTGAAGATGGTTATCATATCACCTCTCAGTTGTCTCCTCTCCAGGCTAAACATACCCAGCTCCTTCAACCTTTCCTCATAGGACTTGGTCTCCAGACCCATCACCATCTTCGTTGTCCTCCTCTGGCCATGTTCCAGTTTGTCTATATCTTTCTTATAGACAGGTGGGTAGCCATGTTGTATCTGAAGAAGTATGCATGCACACAAAAGCTTATACCCAGAATTAAACTGTTTTGGTCTTAAAGGTGCTAGTGGACCCAAACTGTGTTCTGAATAGATTAAGTTAGGGGTCCCCAACCTCTTTGAGCCTGGGGGAATACTGACATAGTGTGGTGGGTGCAGCCCCAAAATGGCTGCCACAGGAAGTGGAGCTAACCACAAAATGGCTGCTGCAGCTTACCTTCAGTCACGCACTGAAGATCCTTGTGCTGTGGCTGGCAACTGCTGCCAAAGTAAAATCTGAACTGCCAATCAAATATCCGGTAGCCAATCAGAAACCTTGCTGGGCAAAAGCCCCACCTGGCTCCACCCACTTCCTGAAAGCACTTAGCAGACACCAGGAAAGGTGTTGCGGGCGCCACATTGGGGGCTCCTGGATTAAGTAGAGATGGTACCATCGTTGCACGTGGGAAGAATGAAGTGAAAACAGTGAAATCTCCCATTGAAAATATAAAATCCAGTACTGGACCCAGTGTCTCTCACACCAAACCTTTAAAGGCTGAGAGTACAGGGTGAAAAAAACATGGTAATCACTGCATTAGCAGAACTGGAGCTTAATTTGGGATAAGGCACTGGGTAGAGAGTGAACAGAAGCCAGACTGGTAAAAGTGCTAGTCGTGGAGGGCAAACCCCCCCCCCCCATAAACAAAGTCTCACCCTAAAATAACAGTCTCCAAGGGATAACCAAAGTCGAAAGTGCTTTAAAACATTTAGCACAGCTTTAGCTGGGGGCCTCCCTTCTCTCCTTCTCCAGGTGCAAAAAGCCAGGCTTCTCATGAAGCTCACTTGCTCCTGCGCTGCACTCCCCCGGCTGCTGTTTTAAACCTCTCAGTGCTACTTATTGCCATGGGGATGAAGAAGGATTAATTTCCCAACCACAGCCTGAGCGGCATTATCTCCTTGTTAGGACTGCAGATCGCTTGGATAATTTGGGAGGTAGACTGAGAAGCTGGGTGAGACGTTGCACTCCTTGGTGATTTCTCCCACATGGCCTTCCACCTCGCGATACGATCCTATGCAAAGTTAGACGTGTCTAGTTCTA